CAGTACAAAAAAAAAATAACGATGAAGCAAAATGTAACTGGAAAAATAAAGGAAAACTTCTCGACCTAGAAGGCGAAACACACTCAGGCACTAAATGAACTGCTCACTCAGGTGTTTGTTAAGGAAGAAGTCAGCAGCGTGTCTGTGCAGTATTGAGGCAGAATAAATTGTGTCTTGTACTAGAAGCACACAAGGCAAACAACACAATGGTCCAGTGCTGTACAGCACAAGGCAAGGTGTAGAATGCACAAGTGCGCTATAATATCACAAGCCAGAATAAGACAAATAGGGAAATGTATCCAATTTTAACATTTGCATATCATCTATTGTAGATTATTACAATATAACATCTAAAATTTTTAAACAAAAATACAGAAATAAAGATATAACGGTGTGCTACTAGAAACAAACAAATGTGCTTTTAAGTTATACTTCAAATACCTACATTACAATATTCAGTAAAACGTAAGTACACGCAAATTGATGGTCCCGGGTGAATTGTTTAAAACCTGTTAAAAGGAGTTCACAAAGCAAGAGAGTCTTTAGTTAGGTTTATTAACTGTCATTGTCTGTTTCTTTTTTAAATGATGTACCAAAGAACAAACTGTGTAAGAAGAATTTATAAAAAAGTCACTGGTTACAAAGTTAAATAAATCAACATATATAATGTTTTTTTCATATTACAAATATCATAAAAATCCATGTACTTTTGAGGTGAACACTAACAAGTTTGAATTACCATGTGATGTCACAGCACACAGTAGCAAATTGTTTTCACAGAGGAGATCTCGGGGGTCTCCATACTGTACGCATTGCACCCAAAAAATAGTGGCACAGTGATTTCTGAACGAGAGTTTTCATGACAAATTCCAATTATAATTATTTTTCATGAAAAAAATATGACTGATAAGTACAGCTCTGGAATATTTTTTTGATGAAGCTATAATTCAGTTCTAACCTCTTGTGTCACAAACAAAATGTTTATTGTTTATTAATTGTTTATTATTAAAGATTATTTGAAAGGAAATAAAGTATTTTGGCAATTAGTTGACAGGTGACTTTTGTTGGGTATTTTATTACCCAAAAATAGAATGTATATTATATTGTACTTATCATTCATTTTAATCTCATGATCACAAATACAAATTGCTTGACTGTAAAGACAAAATAAGTATTGTATATATTTGCTGGGCTAATAGTTCTGATTTCAAAATACATATTTAGAATTTAAACATTAGTGTATCTGTCTAAGCAAAGCTCTATGTCTCACAACATTTAAAATTGATTTTCAACTCATATCAATTCATGGCTTTGGTAACAGTGCACAAAATTATTTTTTGCTGTCTTACATTGTTAACACAGTACTGTCTTAACAGTGTCGTTGCATAATTATAAGGAAAAAGATTAAAAAGAATTCCCTTTTGTTCTGACATTTTTGCATGTATTTTACGTAAACAATGGGCTATCGGTCAACAGTTTGACAGCTCCAATTAATTTTGCAGGAATCTCTGTTTAAAGTGAATTGTCTTAGCAGCATCAATATAAAATAAGTATTTAACACGTGATTGCTAAAATATAGTCATATAATATCCCAAACCCAGTTTAAAACATTGATAACAATCCTTGTACAAATACAAGGCAAAACATTAAAATTAACCTTTGCTTTAAAATTTACTTGTTTAAAAAAATCATCCATTCAGAATGAATACAAAACATAACCATTAAAGGCAATTAACAATTATTATACTAGATAAATTGTATTTCCAGATGGTTTCCATAAAATCTTCAAGGTCTCTGGCTTCTAAGTGACTATACTTGAATAAATATGTTTGAGAAAATATGAGGTTTTCAGGTTGAGAACTGCATTAGTTTATAAGATTTAGCAAAATTGACACATTGTTGCAATGTGACAAGCTTTTAATTGTGTTTAAGTATACTCCAAAGGATTATCAACAGAAATTGAAAGAGTAAGGAAACCAAATAGTAGTATTACAATGTAACAAGTTTACAAAACAGAGAAATACTTGCAGAATTTTATGAAATGAACTGAGTTAAAAAATGGAACCTTAGCATCTAGACTTACAGTTCATTGTTAATTGAAAGAAACTAGATAACATTTAAGAACTGCTTCCATCTCTGAGGCCTGCAAATGCTGTATAACAGCATCTTAAGTTTGAAACATGTGACTGAAACAAATGTTTGACATTAAAAGGTCTACAAATACAGTATAAGGGGGACTTTTCATACAATGATGATAAAAAAAATGCTGATGATACAGTGAGTTTGTCTAATATAGATTTCATTATACACAAAAATGGGTACAAATAAGTGTTGAATGCAATGAATGTTGAATGCATGTAGTCATACAAGGTCCTTCTGTAGTGGAATGCATGGTGATGTGTGCTCCAGAGTGTTCAAGTAATCGCTTTCATTCCAGCCACCATCTCTCATTCTACGACCCCACACCATCTTTCTGTCTCTTGTACTGTTACCCTAAGAAACTCAGCAAAGTATTTGTTTTGGTTAATACCCTTACATTGCAGTATGTCATCAAAACACAAGGCACCTGAAAGTGGTTGTGTAGAGAAGATAAGTTGAGAGGTTATTAGACCAGAGAGTAAACATGTAAATTCTGGACATCATACTGTATGTGGAGGTGTGAGTGTCATAAGTACAACTTGAAAATGTTTACCACCCGCACCATCCAAAAGGCTGAAGAAAAGAAGAAAAGATTTACGCCAATGTTGAAGCTTCTGCTCCTTAAGAGATAAGGTTCCTCCTGTTTCTATGGCGTTAGAGGCCTAATTAATATTTTTATGTCCTAAATGTTTAATGCTTTTTTATACCATATATATTTTATTTTGTATTAAATGTTAGTTTGATATGCAATTAAGTTTAGGTTTGGCTATTCATTTGTTTGTAATATTATAGGTATATAAAGTAGGTATTAATAGATTAATTTAAAAGGCCACATTCACATATGCTTATTTATTATTAAGTTTCTCCAGTACAGATTTTCTTAATATGCTGCTCTGGAGGAACGTAACTCCTGTTTTGAATAATGGTCTACTGTATTCTCAAAAAAGATGTACTGTATAAAAGCAAGTGTTTTTATGCCATTCAATACCACTGGAAGAAGATAAATTGAGGCATCATCTTGACGGAATATCAAATAATGTTGAGAATACTGCTAGAACTAAAAAACACCCTGGTTACAAAGGTATACATTTAATATTCAAGCTTTTTTTTTGCAACACAGAGTCTGTCGTGTCAATGAAATGTGTGAGAAGATGGAATCGGAGAAGGACAAAAGAAAGCCTTGGGACTTTTTTCAACATCTCAAAAGTAAATTGGAATATTACCATCAAGAGGGACAGCACAGTGGTGCAGTGAGATCCTGGGTTCAATTCCTGATGTACTATCTGAATAGGGGCTGTGTAATCTCCCTGTGTTTGCATGGGTTTTCCTCTGGGACTCCAGTTTCCTTTCACAGTCCAAAGACATTCTGGTAAATTAACTGGCTTCTGGGAAAACGGCCCCTGGTGTGAGTGTGAGTATATGTGTGCTTATGTCTGTGTGTGCCCTGTGAAGGACTGGGTTTAGCCTGCCTTGTGCCTGTTGCCTGTCAGGTTGCAGTTCCTTCACAGCCCTGTATCGGACAGAGTGGTTTTATATGGATATCATCAAGGACACAGTGTAAGCTGTCAGTAAGTCAGTGACTGGACATACAAAATAATAAAATAATAATCTAATCTTAATGTTAATTAAAGCTTATGAAAAGTAAGTTTTTTGGTATTTTTTTCAGTGTCATAAAACTTTTACAGCTTTAAACTGTAAGGCCTTTTTTGTTTTCAGACTTTTGAAGACTTGTACTGTACATACACACATACAGTATCTTATTATTACAATTTCAAAACCAGCGAACTGAATAATAACAACTAACATAAAGTCAGTACACATCTTCACTATCTACATTTTCTTGAAACCATTTGTAAATTCTGTGAAAGTATTTGGTTTTAAAATCTGATTTTAGCTTTTTTACTTCTGTGGACTTCTGGATTATCTCCGGCAACTCTTCTGGACCCATAGTCATATTTAAAATCTTTATCAGCTGAAAAACAAAGGAAAACCAAAAGAATTCAAATTACAACTAGTATTTCCACAATTTTAACAGATATCCTTCAAAAGGCCGAAGAAGCAACTACAGCTAAATTAATCAACAAATCAGTTAACTAATTAATCATTGAAAACACTTAGTAAGTCAACATTCTGTAACATTAAAAAAAACTTAAACCATATTTTGATAATGATCACAACAAATAATTGCCAATGACCTAACAATATCAAACACACTTGACTTTACACACATTTCACAATTCACTTTTCAATATGTTTGCATCTTCATGTATGGGTATGTTTTATATTGAGTCCAATAAAATCCCTTACATTGAATTTACTGACATTTAAACAAGGATTGTTTTCAAAAATACCACTTGCATTAAAAGGAAAATATTCAACTAGTATTGCAAGAGCAATACATTTTAAAATAAAAAGTGGATAAATTCTCTCTGGCCCTAATAAGCTATACTGTACATGGCTTTGATTTCCCAGAGTTGGGGGGAAGATTTGTTGGATGTGGTTGAGTGGAATATGTGGTAAGCCTGCTGGGAACTGATGACTCTGACTGCCAGATTCTAGGTAACAGATACGTTTCACCTTCAGAAAATTCCACTCTACCTCCACCTTTCATTTTTGTGTAGTCCAATAATAAAAATGTCAGTCCTACATCTATTCTTTTATGCTTACACATATGTATTTGCTATATTCAAAAAACAGAAATGTTAATGACCATTTTTGATGCATATCCATTTATATTTCATTTTTATGCACAGGTTGTTTTAATGTAACACAGTTTTGCTACATTTTAATTATGTTTAATTGAAGATTTTGCCTGAACTATAGCTGAACTAGTGGACAGTAAATGACGTCAACATTTCTGACTAAAATCATTTGAAGATGACTCATTGTACACTTTGGGACATTTTCCAAAACATCTGTCAGAACAGAGTCCATACAGTTGTTAGTCATGATGTTAATGCGTATAATGCACTACAATCCAACCATAGTATCCCTCTCTGTGATTTTCTCAACAGACTGTACAGAATGAAACTACCCACACCTTGGATTGATATTTGCAATCAACGGATTCAGAGTTGTTCATCTGTTTTGCCTTGCATCTTGAACCAATGCACTGGCATCACAGTCAAGGAGAAAAAGCTTTTGTCCACGTTTGCCCCTAGATGATGATGTCTTTCTCTCAGACTTCCATGCCAACATCACCTTCTCCACTGTTGCTCATGAAACATCATCATACCTGAAACTCTGGTAATCATGCCCCAACAATCACCCCTCTTTCAAAGTCATGGAGTTCTCATCTTCTAGCAATGGCAGCCAAAATAATGGAGAACTCTGCCTACCCCAGCCTTTTATACATGACACTAAAAATGATGGGAATGGGATGTTAATTGCTTGCTTAACTCAGGAACCACACCTGTGTGGAAGCATCTAAATGATATATAAAACCCTATATTTGTCTATCAAAATAAGTAGGCTACTACTGTATATGCGTTTGACTACTGAGATTGAAACAAAAGCCAGAAATTATTGTGTGATCAGTTTGTTTTAGGGAACTTTCACTGACAGAAAGAGTTTGGAAATGAAACATTTGGCCAGAAGAAAATAAGCCAAAGATGTATTTTCCTGCTGTACAAAAAGAGCTGAATGGCCTCCCCTCAACTGGAACCTTCCTTAGTTCTCTAGAGCCATGATCAGTGGCCTTCATCAACAGCCTCCTGATTCCTTCTGAATTTGGGATTCTGACTATTTTCCCATGGCCACCTTATCATCCTTCAGCTAGGAAACTTTACCACAATAAATCATCTGAAATTGCGTGCCTTTCTGTGTCCCCCTACTGGCTTGCATGCATCTTACTGGCATGTATCTTTCAAAACAGTACAGCTCAGCCTTTAATCCCTAAAAGTATAGATAAGTGTAAGCAGTTATTAATTATAAATTATAAAGACAGTTTTCTCACCTGGTTAAACTGAAAATCACCTGAAATCCGGTCGGCAAAATGTCCAAAAACTGGCCAAAGCTGGTGATTAAATGCTTTGTCCCTGTAAGTTAAAAAGCTTTCATCAAATAACAGCCGAAAACAGAAATAGTTTTTGTTAATCAACATTAACATTCTTCATGTCCCTCAGAACAGCATTGTTGTAAAATAATGGGAGGTTGGCTGTTGGTTAGGTGCTACTCAAACAAAATTTCTTTGAATTACAAAGAGGAAAAAAAGTGTAAAAAATGACTGACATTGGTTATGATTTAATTCAAAGGAAAATTAGATCAAAAAGTTCACAAACATAATGGTCAAATATCTACTAAAGGAAAAACAATTTCACGGATATCGTCAAATGTGTAAATCGGTATTTTGCATTGCTAGGAAATCTAACAAAACTGACACCAAACTACACTTCATTGTTGTTTGGACAGACACTATGCTTTCCCTTCCTAGAGTTTATTTCCATAATGCTTGTGAGCAGAAGCATCCTGTTCTCCAAGAAATTTCTGGATTATTTAATCAACAAAATGATCCGACTCTAAACATCCACAATTCATTAAGTATGAGAACTCTTATATTCAGTAACTGGTAATATTTGAGAAGCAATAGCCTCAGGTAGATGCTTCCTGTAACTGTGTGTAAGTCCCACATATGGGTTTATGACATATGAGTTTATTTGACAGCTTCATTGCATGTACAGTTTGCTTCAGGTCCTGCCATTTTGGAGTTCTTGTTTAGACTGTAATTTGGATAACCCACGTGTAATATTTTTCTTCTTCAGCCATTCTGTTATCTGTATGTCTAAGTTTGGGATCATTGTTTTGCTATTTGACCCATTTTTGGCTCAGTTCAGCTGACGATTGGATGGCCTGACTTTCGCCTTTACAATTGGTTGATACAACAACAAGTTCATAGTTTTGTCAATAATAGCAAGCTGTCTGGGTCATGAGGTATCAAAGTAGCCCCAAAAAATGATACTCCCTTCCACTACACTTGAAAGTCTGGATGAGCTTCTTCTGTTGGAAGGTTGTGTTTCTTTTTCACCATACAAAACATTTTTCATTGATACCAAAAAGTTAAACTTTTCAATCAACTGTCTATAGAACATTCTTCCTATGTGCTCTTTGACAAATGTGAGACAGGAGATAACATTCTTTATAAAGCCCATTTTTCTTTGTTATCTTCTCATGAAAATCATTCCTGTTCTGTGTTTTCAAGATGGTTCATGTAGAAACACTGAAATTAACCACCGCGAGAGACGCTTGCTGATCCCCAGATGTTACTCTGGGGCTCTTTGAGAGTTCCTCAATGATATTCTGTCTTGCTCATGGAGATCTTGGCAGCACTACTGAACTTGGGTAGAGTCACAGTAGTGTTGAATATTTTCCAATGTGTAGACCATCTAACAGTAGATTGATGGAGCTCAAAAATATTAAAAATGGTTTTGTAACCCTCTCATGACTAACAGGCTACACTGAAGTCCTTTGAAATCTCTTTTGATTATGGTAGGAAGTATTTCCACTAACCTATATGATAAAGACTAAACTCACAAGGTTAGAGTACAGCAAAAACTTCAGTAGAGACTTATCAAAACAGTTGCAATTTCTGCCAGATATTGACTCTATGAGTACTTATGCAATCTATACTTTCTAGTTTTTTTTCTCTTTTCTACAGAATAAATTATTATTTACTATGTTCAAAAAAAAATTCAGTCTGAGCATTTTAAAATACTAACATCATCCTCCTTTTATTAAAAATAATAATTTTAAGTGCACTGGTTCTATGTATAAGCAAAAATCAATTTTTAAAGATGAGTACTCAAAACTGAAACATTTACTTACTTGGTTTGAAATATCTCCATGTTTTCTTGAATAAAATTCCATACTAGTGGTTCACCAATTATATTTTTCAGTATTTGTCTCAAAATGCTCGATATACGCTCTGATACAACAGATGATGCATCCAGCAAATGATTAAGGTACCTTTAAAGAAATGACAGTTTTGTACATAATAAATATTAAACTGTGTTAACTGTTTTGCTATTTAAGAAGATATCCAAACAAGTGTTCCTGTTTAAAGCAAGTGTCTCCTTAATGTAATTTGAACTGAGATATTCTAGTTATTAAATCAGAGGTTTGTCTGTAAACTGAAATGGTTTGTCTGTATTTCATTTTGGGTTTTTATAATGAAAATGAGTCTCACACAATTTTTAAGGGCCAGTACTTGTAAACAGAATTATGGACTGTATAGGAACATAATAAAGGATAAAATGAGATTTTGGCTGATCTTGCATATCTGATTTTTACTAATATACATATAATATTATTCAGATGTATTTGACCAATATATCATATCTAGGATTAAAAGTTTAGAAACAACAAATTGAAACACCATTTCTGTAAATAAATTAGGTACCTACAGTATCAAAAACACACTGCCTAAGATAACCCGCTATTTCTACTATGCAATATACTGTATACTGTGAATGTAATGCTCAGTCAATCTTTCTAATAACAGAATAATTCACTTTTGAGATTGTTATAGGAAGACATTGTATAATGTTTTACTTTACATTTTTTGACAAAACTGAAAATCCTCACACAACACAAAATTGGTAGCTTTTAAAATGTGGTGCTCTCACACATTCACAGATAAACTAAAGTGTAAATGTACCAAAGAGAGGCATTCAACAAAACAAATAGACAGAAGGTTCCACCTGTAGTGCATTCTACAGAAACCTTTGAACTATTTTCCGTAAAGGACTCTAACTATAGCCTGTCACAGTGGCACGGGGGTTTGCAGTACTGCCTTGCAGCACTCGGACCCAGGGTCCAATTCTGAATGTGGGGTGCTATCATTATGGAGTTGGTGCAGTATGTTCTGCCTGTGTTCACATGGGTTCCCTCTGGATGTTCGTTTCCTCCCACAGTCCAAAGACATACTGGTAGGTTAATTGGCTTATGAGAAAACTGGTCCTGGTGTGATTATGTGTGTGTTTGTGTCTGTGTGTGCTCTGTGACCCTGTACAATCTCTGTATATAAAAGAAGTAGTACCATTGGACATACAATATTAATGTCTAGACTACATTTGCTGTGGTCATCGTAGTGCTTTATTATTACTATGTCTTTACTAACAGGTTTTGTAGTTTAGATTATAAACTATTTTTAAGAGTTTCTATTGTAGCTACAATGACAAAACTGTAAACGTTAGTAATAAATGCACACATTAGTTTTATTTCTCTCAAGTTCATTAAAAGGTTAATTACAACATTTGCAGTTGGAGAAAAGACTTCAAGATAAATTTAAATGTATTTATCAAAAATAAAATGATTTGGAGATTTAAAAATGTCTGCTTTCTCCAGTTGAACTTGAGTTTGAAGCAGCAGGTATTTCACACCAACACATGCTCCAAGGAAAACAGTTCCTAAATTGAACTGATGGAGACTGACAACTAAATAAGTAGTGAACATAGTCTTGTTTTACATTATTTTATACATTTGGAAGCCATGTTGAAGAACATCCTGTTTACACAGTTTGTCTTTAAGTTTTACTATAATCTTTTAAATTTGTTGTATTTATGGAGCTGTTAAATGAATTTGCTTCAAAGGACAATTCTTTAATTGTTTCCACATTTTAGGTGATGTAATCTGAAGGTAATTGACTTATCTCCAGTATTTATAATTACTTTAAGAAGAAATGGTAACAATGAGATAAGCATATTACAGGACTTCCATTTGACAAAAAACGTTTTCAAGTTGTATTGTTGTATTACACATTTATTTTGTGTAAACCAATTTCACTGTTTTTCAAAAGTCTATTGACCTGCCATTTAGTTCCCAGACACACAAATTAAAAGGTAGTCTCAGAGTAACATAGTAACTATCACTGAACAGACATACAGTATGAGCATGCTATTTTTGCCATGTGGTAAATCTCATTACTCAAAATCAGATAGTGGGAGATCAAAATTGTGTATTTTGCTCATGACATTTATTTGACCCTTTCCCATATAATTGGAAAACACAATATTTCACTGTTATTTTTAGAACGCATACCTCTTCAAAAGCCAAGGTTCTTTGGTACAGCTCAGGGGCCGGATTAAATCTATTTGATTCTGCTCCTGAAGCTTCTTCCATGCAAACTCCCACTCTCTCTCTTCTCCCGCAGCTATTCCAAAACAATAAATATCTTCTCTTATGTAGAATGGGAACCTGGATCAAAACAAGGCACGTTATCATTCTAAATAAGCATGGATAAAACTTTTAAACTGCAAAAGAAGCACACTTATGACTCAGAAGCTAGAGATAATCTTTCTCATTTATTGTGTTAAAGAAATTTTAGTTTTGGATTAATCGAAGCTCAAGCATAAATCAAGAAAAGATTATGGGTGGGAACATTTAGTAAAAAGAGAAAAATTGCAGAAAAGACTAACTTGAGTCTAATAAAGTTAGTCTTTTAACATCTGGAAATCCATACAGTAAACTGATTATTCAACACACACAAAAACCGCTGTAATCTTTTTTCAAAAGTTAAAAGGTCGTATATATATATAGTGTTTCCTTACATATTTGTGGTAGAATTCTTCATCCACTGTGCATACAGTTTAGATGCATGTTGTAGGCAACCTTTATGTCCAAATTTGCATGCAATCTCCATTGACTTTTGCACAGACAACCTTAGAGGGAGACAAATATAGTACACACAATTTTAAATACAGAAAAAAAATCTAATGAATAAATTCTAGTTTTAATTTATATACAGTATGTACAGTACGTTACACCTAAAATTGAAAATACATGTATTAACCTTATCCTTGCCCTTGTTCCTGGATGTTTCTAATGTTGTAGCTTTATTTCTGGAAAAACCATATGATCTACTGTATAAGGTTCAAAAGCAAAAACAATATTGTGGAGAATAAGTACAGTATGACTGATGAATTACATATTATGACATATTGAGCAGGGAGTCATACGTTTAAATCAAGTTTGACATAGAAAACATTTTCTATCACAGACTTTATGAAGCTTTGTTGCAAAATAAATTATACTGATACCAAAGCAATAACATTATAATATTCATAAACCTATATTCTTATAATCACTTACTGCAAATAAGAGTCATCCTCTCTTACATTCAGGAGATCTCCATCTATTAAATCCATGTAGTAATTATAAATGGGAGTAAAGGTTTTCAACATATATCTCTAAAAATAAAATCAAAAACATATTACTGAAGGTTCTTTACATTCACATTTTGTTATTGGATTAAGTGTTACGATGCTGGTTTGAAATACCTTGTATAATCCGTACATATTGGAAGAAATCACAGAATCCAGGTAGCTGTTAAGGATCTCTATTGCCTTTGACCACACTACAAAGTCTTTTTCCCTTGAGAGATATTTAGTCGTACTGAGGGCAACTTCAACATCTACATATCCTGCCCTGAGTATTAAAAATTAAATAAAAAGAAAAATTAATGTCTACTAACCCCAGTTATAACTCATATGTTTATGCCTATTCATATACATAGAAATATTACAGTTGAACCACCTAAATAAAACATAATTCAATGAGAATAAAAATAATCTAAAAAATTAAAACCATAACTTTGAATTAATAAAAAGTGTGGTTTCATAGCCAAACCACGTTACCCAGATCACTGTGGGCAAAGTATTCAACCATTGCAATTTTTTAATGACAAAAACTATATTTTCACTGAGCAAAACAAAACACTATACAGTATGTATACTGTACATGTCATTCATTACAACAAAATCCAATCTAATACTTACAACATTAACCTAAACGCATCATCAATTATTTGTGCCCTGTTATTCACTGGAATGACCTGCAGGATACAGGGGAAGATAACATTTTACAGCATAAATAAAAATACACTCAAGTCTAATCTAAATGGAGTTTATTAGGAAAGTTCAGGAGGAATTACAACAGCCAAGTATTTTATACTGACAATTTCCTCACTTAAAACATTATAAATACTGTATGTTACGCCTTCTCTCCCTCACATATGTCTTCCTAATCCCACCTCCACCTCTGCAGCTGCCCCTTGGTCACTCCTCACTCTGTATTGGGGCTCCAGCCTCCTCATTCTATGGCCTGGAGGTCACCCCCTTCTAACTTTACCAGTGGTTGTCTCTGTTATACACATGCTTGAATGGATGAGGCTGTTCTTAAATGTGAATCATAATTTTGCGGAATTGAATGGGCAAGTGTGGAATTACTGGCTGCCTTTTCACCAGCTGAGGTTCAATACCTCTTGTCGAGGTAGAGAGCCGATGTGTAAGTCACTCAGAGTTGCGTTCTTTCAGCCCGCAAAAATAGCGAATGGCGAGAATCTACAGTACATGAGGGCAGAGAATTCCCCAAAATAAAGAAACGTTCTACCGCAGCCTTCCAACTAGTGCTGTGGGTCTAAGGTTAACACGGGGACATCGTGTGAGAATGTAATACAGGGTTCTAATGAAGACCCCAGGTGTTGCTGATACACATTCCCACGCGGAAACAGGTAGAGAGCGAACAGTTAGCGGGCCCTCTAGTGGTGCACAGTGGGAAATTTCTTCCCACTGTCAAACGTCACAAGCTCTTTAAATTGGATTTAATGATTCACCAGCACACCCTTGTTTCTTCAGTACTCCATTGCTGTTGTTCAATACAGTGTTGTTGGACTCAACTATTTAAACTTAATTTCAGGTTTTTCAGATGCTATTACTTCCTGTGGCATGAAAAAATAAAATATGTGTTCAGGTCAATGACTATCACCATAAAGTAACATAATCAAAATAACCTTGGAATGAAAATATTTAACAATATTGACTTACATTGGGATCTTTCATCATCTGATGGTGCAGTCGCTCCATGTTCTGTTCATCATAAATAACTCTATAATAACCAGATACGTCCACGTTCAGTAGTATCCAATCGTCTTCTGAGGTAATGGCCATCTCAGGGAATACAGCTATAGTAACAATATGAAATATATATCACCGTTTGATGCAAATTAAATATTTACTGAAGCACAAAAAAAGCAGAGCTGGATTAATTAACCTGAATTTTAAAACTTACACATTTTTGCATCAAGCCATTTTAAAGGTTGCAAAGATCCATTTTTCATCCACTGTATAGGAACATACCAAGTAAAGCTAAAACAGGCAGAGAAAAAAACATCCACGTCACCAAATTATTTTTTTCACTTTCTAAATGTACCAGATCATAAGATTTGCAATTACACTAAAGGCCCTCAGAGCATGCTGCAAGCATAAGAAACCAGCGTCAACACAAACCTAAGTACACAATTTTTTTTTCTGTTGTCAGCTACATATCCCTTTTCATATAACACAATGTAATGTTAGTTGTCCACCAAAAAAATTTTCCTCCATGAAAGGAACAGTTTTGACATTGCTTATATAACTTTGCACATTTAACATCTGATTTGCCATAAATGAAAAGCTTTATAAGAAAAATACATACTTGCCATTAGAAGTTTGGTTTTCTGTTGGTAGGGCGCATGGCTCCTGAGTTATAGTGCCAGTGCTTGTATTCAGTGAAATAACAGGAAATCCTGGCTGCAATGTCCAGGAGTCCATTATACGTTTTACAGATGTGGGCAGCTGCAGTTCTGACTGACTGTTGGCTGCCTTATCAAAAGACAAAAACATTCTGTTGTTTAAGCACAAAAGGAAATGTTATGATTTGAATGCACACATTTTGAACATCGACATATATAATACATACAGTATGTGTATAAGAAAAAAAATAAGACTACCGTATTCAGTTGATGCAGAGTGTTAATGCACTCTGGGTTTAACATCAATAACGCAAGACAGCATAGTATTGGATTACAATGAAAAAATCTCAGAAAGAATGGTGAGGTCTTCTTAGAGGCACATTTCTCCCTGATCAGGCTGAACTGTGGCCTGATCTCCTAATCCAACAAAACATCACTGGGACCAACTCATCAACGTCATCAACAGCAGACAACTGTGACTAGCAAAGGCTGCCAGTTCCCTGCAGCTGCACAGGGCAATGGCAAAGCATCTACAGCAGTCTATCTGAGAGTGATCGGGTTTATGAATCAACTCTGCCAGGATTTAAGAACCAGTTTGTTAAGAGGTCATGGCCAACACTAACTTTGAAATGTTTTCACACCAGTAGTGTGTCTATCTCAGAGTGAAAACTTAAAATTATTTTGATTTGTGTGATGTTAAAAACAGCCAGTCTCTGAAAATGGTTACAAAGGCAACTGATTGTCACTCTTCGTCACTGAGCCCTTTAGAAATCTATTTAATATGACAGACTGAAGTCTGTAATGAATCAAAACTTTCACCCATTTGTCAGTCATGAAGAACCAGTCATTTGGTTCATAGAACAAGAAAGAAGCCTTTTTCAAGCAAAGGCTGTCATTAAGTATGAGGTTTATGATTTACCAATGAAGTTTTGTTTTAACCAAATGAAAAGCATGCAATGCTTATTTCAGCGATACTGACAAATGGGCCTAGTGAGCCAGTTCCACTGGAAAGTCTTTCATTCTTAATTATATTTGAGCTGTCAATAACTTAGTCAAATCAATTATTGACTTTCATTTATTGAAATTGACATTTGAAAGTCTTTACCTGTTTTGTAGCTAATTTAAGCTACTTCAGTCTCCAGTATCAGGTGTGCAGACGTACTGTACATACAATAACTTCCACAAAGAATGTTTTAGGTACCATTCCTTCCTTTTTGAAAGAGTAAACAAATAAGCAGTAAGCTTTAACCACAGTAATGAGCTTAACAGAAATTACCATTTGCCAGTGCTTCCAAAGATCATCCTGATCAACATTCATGTAGGAAAAGGCCTGAAGATAGGTCTAAGAGAAACAGAGAGTAAGCTGGTCAGAGTCACCAGTTAAATAATTATTGGTACAGTGCCTAAATAAAACAGGAGAATATATATTAAGGTACTGCATAAGCAAAGTAATGGGTACATGTAGTAACTAAATTGAGCTATTTTAAGCCATAATTTATAGAATCTGTAGAGCACATACTGTAAATACACAACACTGGGTAAGTACATGTGTGAATCTTATATTATACCATTGTAAATTTGTTATTATTTCAGGACAGCCCTGTCTTTCTGCATACAATTCTATCCAATTGTACTAAACAATTATACAATAAATAAAAACATACTCATTAGTACTGTATGCATTAAAAAAACAGTGCATTTTATTTGTTACTATTTTCCAATGTATTTAATGAGTAAAGGAAACTGAACATCATGATTAAGTACAGAAAATCAATTTTTACAACTGTTATGTAACCATATTTTGTAGATATTGCACTGTCAACAGGCTGTGTAATATTAAAATACTTGTTTAATTAAGAAACTTGCTAAAAAGCTTTCAATAGCAAGACAGCTCTTGAACTAAGTGTTTAAAACTGAATAAGATAAAAGATACTGAGCACCCAGATGCATATAAAAGCAAAAATTATTTTCATGATGACCATCTACGTATGTAAAACTCACCATGAGCCCTTTTCGGAATACCTTCTCCGTCAGAAACTTTGCAGTCATTTTAGTAATGGAAGAACCCTAACAATAAACAACAGAATTAATGTTGTTAAAACAACAGAATTATTACCACACAGAGGAAAGAAGAAAATGTATCTTTCATGTGATGAAGTAAATCAGTCATGTGACCTTTTGACAAAGGTCATAAGACTAGTAAAATAAATTCCATTTCAAATCTGTAATTAAGCTGTGGATACAAAATCAAAGGGCATTTATAATGTCAATTCTGAACACAAACACATGAATTGTTGTAAGTCACATGGCTAGAAAATCAAATGGCATTAGTCCTTCATCTTTTTGTTTTACAGTTTCAAGTCAGACTAGGTACATTTACTACAAATGAATGGAAATAAAGATGACCACAAACAACTCAAAACTGCAATTATAGGTGAGATACATTTCACACTATGTATGCTGAGAAATTATTTGTTGCTGCTAAGAACAAAATGTGGGTGATGAACAGAGCACAGCACTATTCCTCTCTATTGTTATTCTCATGCGATGCTATCAGTCATTGTCAGCTGTAACAACTTTCCAAAGAGGAAATAGACTTAGCCATAGATTCAAGACAATAGGACCCATTTAGG